TGCGGGCCTCGGCCTCCCCCGGGGAGGGGAGGAGGGGGGAGGCGGAGACTAGGTGTACAATTTTCAATCTCGAGACTAGTAGTCTAGTCTAAGGTTTACCCCGAGTGAGCTTCACAAGAAAGTGTGCCTTGGATCGATTTGCATGTTGTGTCGCTTCTTGATCTTTTGGCGAACAAAAACATTACTCCAATTGGCCAGTTAGACCTCTTGTGTTTAAATTTACACAATAAATATGACGTCACTCGAGCGTGGTCGGCGAGATCTTCTCGACTCGTCGTTGGACGACATATTAATGGAGTCTGTGGAAATAGTCTAGTCTAGGTTGTTCCCAGTAGTAGGGACGCACATACAACCGTAAAGATCCGTAACCCTGGGAACGACGATCTCGGGGTCTGAAGATCTTTACATCGAAAAGACCCTCCGTCTGCTGTGACCAGCGGGAGGTTGGAAGCGGGCCCCTGTTGTTGTTGTTGTCTACACATTAAAAACCATCCCGGTCTCTCTATCCAGTACCTCCTTCTGTCTCAATCTCTCCGTACTAATCCATCACTTGACTCGGCCAATTTCCGTGGTCACAGGCTAACGTACCTAGAAAAGGTATACCAAAATATAATGGACCCCAAGGACCCAAGGGCCCCTAGAGTAGGGGTATTCTCAAGTCTTGCGTAGTAGTTCGTTGAACTTGATTGCGTGTCACAGTTTGTCATTTTGTCAACGCGTACGACTTTGCGGGCTTGACTCCGCGTGCATACAGTGCAGGACAAGCGGAAGGTGTGAACAAAACGCACGGAAGAGTGACTCCAGGTTACTTGTACTTCCCACCACGGCCGCAGACATTGCATCATTGCATCCCCGAGACAGAGTAAAGTGTTGGCTGTTGGGTTGACTTCTCACCTACTCGACAGAACACTGCCAGATTTTCCATCCGCACTTTTCAACGGAATTGGCTAGGGACAGATGACCACAGAATCGTCGGCATTGCCAGTAGCTCGGCGGGTTTCAGCCGATTCTTAGTGTCATGGATTGGACGATCCATTCCACCGGCAGGGGAAGATGAGATTTGCTGTTCCAACCGACACGAATTTAATGTGAAGACAACGGCAACAACAACTGCATACGCAACAGGCAAGGCACACGCTGATTAAACATATGAACCAACGGCGGGGGATAGGAGGGGTACTGCCCCCCCCGCATGCGTTGTAAAAATTCATCACGGGGCCCCTCGGGCTGTAGCCGTACTGCCTAATCTCGTCAAACATTGGTTTGCAGGCAGCTTGAAGGACTGTTCAGGAACCAGAGGAAGAGTCCTTCGTCAGCGCCTTGTCACACAAGGACAGCTGCTAGGATTTTACCTGGACGGCATCCTTGTCGCGAGAGATGGAGCAGGTGAACGGTACAATAAACTGCTCTTGAAACCTGGTATCATCCATGTTGTGTTGATGCTGGGGTATCCACCGCTGTGTGCCGGATGATGCTTGCCGGACAAAATGCGGTGTTTGTTCACTACCTCCTCCGCTTTAATACTCTCGGTGCAATTCTCTCGCTCTCTCAGTCTTTTGTGTGTGCAAGCTGTTCCTCGGCCACAAGGAGTCCGACGTTTTTGAGTCGTGGTGTTTGTTTGTTCCCCTGCCCGCCAAGGTGTTTTTCCGGTTACACGTCCGGTTTGTCACGACCGTCACAAGACTGCTCTCGCCGAAGGTAAGACCAGACTCACTCTCCGTGCAGGAGATATACCCTTAACAGTGAATGATCACTTGTTGACCGTAGGGGCGATGGCGGCTATCGTCTCATACAAACTGCTGTTGTTATCACGGGGTACTGTAGAGCAGCCGTAGTTACGCCGCAGCGTGTCGGTATACATCAAACTTGCCTTTATGCGCTGCTGTGCTGCTGTGCTGCTGTGCTGCTGTGCTGCTGTGCTGCTGTGTGGAGTCTGGAATAGTCGGCTCCGGCGAGGGCCTTCAAGTACTGCCATTGACGAGTTGACGTTTGCATCTCTGGTAGGCCTTGTCCGCGGCAAGAGGCCTGCTTTTTTGCCCTTTGTCCCGGACGGAAAAATTAGCGCGGCCTTGTATATGTACGTTGTGCGTTGTTCACCGACCCCTTCCTTGCAAGACAAGTATACATGGATACGATGAGGAACGCACTTTCACCGACAGGATGGTAAGACCGTTGTTCAATTGGAACCGATGACGTGGCTGAATCCAGTGCACTTGCAACTCTTGCAAACGAAGTCGTCATACTGCGAACCGAGTCGGCGGCGATGAGGCGAGACCATCACCCTACATGTATGTAGCTTCCGAGTCCCCACCACATGTCGCAACTCCCGCATCCGTTCTTGAGATTCATCAGGGGGACTCGCCAGTGTGGTAATATCTGAATCTGATGATATCTACTTCCTGACCCAGTTGGTTTGCAAGAAGGCTTGCGTTAGGAATCACAAGGCTCCACAGAGAGTGTGGTGCACCTGCACGAATCAGAAACGACAGCCGTTGCAGCGGTGGTCATATTATCTACCGCTGCCTGTTGCTCAGCGATTCTCCGACTTCTCCGCCAGTCCTAGCCACTACAACATTATCGTGCTTTCATTTTCTTCCACTTCAACTTTGTGGCCTGTCCGCGTCTACAACACCCGCGCGTATGGTTTCGCCGCCTGATTTATGGTAAAATTTGTCGTTTTGGCAGACTCGACGCCTGCTAGAGTACGTCACTCTCGCGAACGCTTTCTTGCTAGTGACGTCGCTGGCTTGGCTTCACACGCGATTCGTTAACCCGAAAGGAAGCCAAGGGTCGGCCGTTTCGTGCCTTCCCGCCGCCTTGGAGAAGGCCGGAGTCGACCCTGCGCAGCTCCATGTTTTACAGGTGTGGTTGACTTCTCTGTCTCTGTGAACCACGCTTCATTGAGTCTTCTATTTTTTACAACCTAGCTTTGCCAGTACAGAAAGGGCGAGATTGGCATACACCGCCGTTGGATTGATACCGGAGCAAGTTTCTTACCTCCAGGTGTAGAGTTTCGTAGTGAGTCCGACAGCACTACTTTAGCAATAGAGACAAAGAATGACAATTGGTGCGCTACAGTAGCCGGTCAATGCATTAGGCTCAAGGGACTGTACGCTTTCCGTGTGACGCTTGACCATCCGCTCCCCTGCCCAACTTTTCCTACACCCAGATACATATACGACAACCACCCGATGATTGGGGTGGCGGTGGCGGCGGCGGGCGGCGGAAGAACTTGATGTCCTTCCCGGACGGCAGCAGTCGAATTGACGACAGCAGCAGGAGTGGCACTAACGCCGAACAGCAGGTGTCTGACTCGCGTAGACATAGCGGTGGCGCGGCCGGGGATGCTGGTCTGGGAATCTCAGGCTTGGGCGGCGGCGAAAGTGGTTACGCTAGCGCTACTGGCACCGCCGCTAGCGCTTGCACCGGCAGTGGCGAAGAAGAGGGTGCCGCCGGCACCATGGGGAGCGAAAGCAGCAGCAGCAGCAGCAGCAGCGGTGGTGGTGGTTGGCTGCTGCCCCCGAGGTTGGACTCGCCGCCCTTGTCTCCGGAGATCTTCTACAGCATGAAGCTCGTCACGGGCAAGGACGCCGTGGGCACACTGTCGGGACCGGGTACCTTGGGCATCGAGAGGTGCGTCGTGAAGGGAGGGGATGGCGTGGACGGGAACAACCCTGCCGGCGGTGGCGGCGGCGGCGGCGGGATTTGCGGCGCGGTGGTGGAAGAGAAGCGCCCGGCGCTGGTGCAGACGCTGATGGACGCGTTCTCCTGGGGGGGGAAAGGAGAGACGGGCATCATCGAGCGAGGGCGGGGGGGAGGGGCGGTACGCGATTTTGCGGGGCCTCTGCCACTGGGAGGTGGGTCTTCGGTCTCTTCGGTCGTGAAATGTGGTTGCCAGTTTTCGTCGCAGTCAACTACAAGGTGCTATTGTGTAAAGACTTAAGGTGCTTGAGAATACGGCACGCGGCAATACGCGGCAGTATGACGTAATACATGTTATCTTTCGAGTTTGCCGGCTCCCGGATAGACGAGGTAATAGTGGGTCTTGCCCGATTGCAGTACTACGAGTGCTGGTGCTGGGCATTCTTCTCCGAGAATGTTTTCAGAGCTGCTGGGATAAATGTTGGTGTGGTGCGAAAGCGAGAGAGCCAAACGACATGATGCCTCCTTCCACCTGGGTGGATTGTTACGTGGCGCACCCCCAGTCTCAACTGAAGTAAAACGTTTCAGTTGAAGTAAAACGTGCCGGCTGAGATTCGTACAAAATGCAACAGCGAGAGGGATCACTAGATGCTAGTGTCTCGAAAACATGTAGGCAATTCATGGCAAACTCGCGGCGCTGTCCGTCAACACTAGTGAAGGAATGAAAGTACCAAAACTCTCGCTAGCGGGCACCGAACAAGTTGACGTAAAGTTTGCGACACGGAGCCTTCTCTTAGGCAGGTACAGGTGCCTGCCCACAGCCAGAAGAAGTCGCTAGAGGGAATGCATCGGAACCTTGCGCTCTCCCCACCTGAGGGCGGCATCTGCACGTATATAACGGCAGCCCCGGCGTCGGAAAACAGTTGGCTTCTTCTGATGCGCTCCTTCCGCACACAAGACAAGCACTGGCTGCCGTGTACCATTTCCAACCCATTTCCAACCCATCTATTCCCATTCCCTCGCAAGCAGCGGACCGCAGAATACCGGGGGGGAGCGGTGAGGAACACGTTACTCCAAGGGGCGCCGTGGCGCAATCAGAGGGGGGAGGGGGGGCGCTGTCAGGCGGCGAGCGAGACGCTGCCGCGTGTGCGGCGGTTAGTGGCGACTGCCACGAGCATCAGAACCGGGGGAGGGGTGACGGGGCAGAGGACGGCGGGGGGGGGTCGGCGAGTGGCCGGGATCCCGACGAAGTCTACCTGTATTCCTTGGAGAAGGGCTTCCTGATGCTGAGGCCCGACCTGAGACGGAAGCACGGGATCGTGACGGCCAACGTCACCGTCAACGCTCACGACCCCTGTCTAGGGAGTACGGTCGTCCAGGTGATTGTCGTCGTCGTCGTTTTTTTTGTGGTGGTGGTTTGGGGTGTTTTGGTTCTTGTTGGCGTTGTGCCCGGGCCGTCCAAGTGATTGTGATGATTGTCGTCGTCGCCTTGTTTGTTCATGGTGATGGTGATGGTGATGGGTTGGGTCTTGTTTGCAACGTGGGTATGTTGTCACCGAGTGCTGTTCTTCACGCTAGACACCTTCCCGTGTCTGCATGCATCGCCCAACGTTTGGAGTTCTCGTCACCTCGAGGCCGATCCTGGTGTGGCCCACGACCTACCCACGACAGTGGAGCACCCACGACCTCCCCGGCTTGCTTTGTTTTTTTTTGTGCTGTCGCACTCCATCCTAGTCCCCCCCCCCCAAGCGTGCTTTCCTGTACGATGCCCCGTCTCGATGAACACGCTAGGTGTCTGTTCTCGGCACTACCGTTACCCAACAAAGGGGTGAGAACCGCCCCCCCCCCCATTTTTGAACGCTTTCACGAACCTCATGACTGCAGCGCGCTCTTACCGCTTCCCACGCACCCGTTGAACGTTTCGCGGAGCCCCCCTCCCCATCCCCCTTGCTCTTGGCGGTCTCGCCGGGAACCCTTGGAAGTGTGTCGCACGGCAGACAGCGCCAACAACACGTCAAGCAAACGCAGGGAATGTGCAATCTCTTCCCCTTCGAAACACACTCGCGCAAACTTAGCCTTCCCCATGGCGCCCCCTCGCGTGGTTTCAGATCATGGCCTGTAGAAGCATTTTCTGTTTCCAACCGCACTGAGACTGGCATTTTCTCATTGGTCAGCCGGTTGGCGCGATCGATGCTAATAGTAACAGAGAAAACAACACACGTACACACAAAACATCCCTGCCCTCCGTTGGCTGGCTTGTTCCCCAAAGGCCCTGGTGAAGGACTTTGTCGGCTACGACACGGTGGTGATGAACTGGCTCATCTCGCTCTACGGGGGGCGCGGCTTCCTGTACAGCGTGCACAACAACGAGCTCTTCAACCTCAACTACGCGGCCGAGTTCATCGAATCCACAGAGGTGACAAAAAAACTGTTGGCGTTTTGAACGCAGATGCTCGTGCTGCACAAGCTTGTCCGACACACACACCTTTGCCGAAACTGCTGGTATTGTGTGTGGCTTAGGGTTGCCTTTTTTTTTTTTCGTCTCGACAATTGGGTTTCGCTGAACTGCGGGCCCTCCTTGCTAGGTGTGGCTTAAGGTCCCCTATTTTGTGCTGTTGTTGCTTTCGTGTCGCGACTCCGGTGTACGCTGAACAGGACGTGGGTAAGTTTTTCGTGTTCAAGATCGGGGTGCTGTTCACGACCCTCTTCCTGTTCTTCACGACGACTACCCTGGTCTCGTTCACTCTGAGAGAGACGCAGGTGAAGAGGGACAAGAAACAGTGCTGTTGGTTGATTGCGCTTTGAGAGAGACGACAGGTGACTATTAATAGTGAAGAGAGGAGCAACGTAATCCACTTCGGCTGTTTGATGAAGGGGCCCTCTGCTGTTTGATGGTACTGTTTGTTTCGTTTGACGAATTGGGTTTGGGTATTGTTTCCAGGGAATGACAGTCATCCTGGGAACCTGTTCCCACCTTCCTCGTAGTTTTTTTTGTTCTGGGAATAGAGAGAAACGGGGGGTGGGGGGAGTGCTGGTGTCGTCCGAAGAATGGCCGCCGAGCTCGTCCTAATCTAACATTGTGGAGGTTACCAAGAAATGGAGTGAGTTCCGCCACTCGTCCCAATCACTACCACTTGCCACTTGCAAAGAAAACAAAGGGCTGCGTGTTTTTTCCCTCAACAGAGAGAGATACTCGAGTGGCCGTGTCCCTCGGCAGGCACGTGCTTTTCACTCTCTCTCTCGCTCGCTCGCTCTTGCTCTCGCTCTTGCTCTCTGCTTGTCTGTCGGTGTCGTTGTCAGGAGCGCATGCTGAAGTTCACGTTTCTTCTCCAGCATCACGTGCGACACCGCCTCCCGTACGCCCCGCTCATATTCACCCACGTCGTCGAGTCGCTCGTCTTCGTTCCCATCATGGTAAGACGAGAGCCGAGAGGGTTGCGGGCCGAAGGAGGGCAGGAGTCCGCCGCATAGAGAGAGGGGAGTTGGGGGGGGGTGTACTCATAGCCGTGCATGCCGTCGTCGTTAGACCATTGACCACGCATCCCTGCAAAAACGGGACGGGACACGTCGGGTTCTCACCGGACCAGGATCTCACATAACCAAGCGCGTGATGGTGGGGGGGGGGGTATACACACGAGTTATATGCTGTCGTTCCCTTGGTATTTATGCGGCAGCGTACCGAAGATCCTCGTGGATGCTGTACCTCAGAACGAAGTGCGAGAAATTGTCACCACCGGCAGAGAAGGCTACGCCGAAGCATCACACGCATCGAAAGGATTATCGTGTGTATCGTATGATATTGTCTATTGTCTCCTTCCTCCCATTTCGTTGGCGCTTTTCTCGGTCTACGAGCTTTACTGACTGCTTCCGATGAGCGACAGCAAGTAAATACTAAAGGCACAACACTATATGTGCAGCGCAAACCTCCAGCGCATTTGCGTCGTAGTTCACCCGCTCTTGATCAATATTGTTGTCGTCGCCCTTCGTTTTTTTGTTCGTTTGTTCGTCTGTTCGTTTGCCGTGAAAGGTGGGCATCCTGTTCTTCCTGTTCGAGTTCTTCTCCGACCAGCTGCTGGCCTTCATGGTCCTCTCGGTCGTGTGGCTGTGCGAGGTCTACTCCGTCGTCAGCGTGCGGACCGCGGTGTGCATACGCTTTTTCCCCCAGGTCAGCTTTGGCCCACGTCCGCTTGTTTAGCGGTTGTTTGGCGAGTCTTGCCCGATTTTCCGACCTTGCGACTACCGCACTCCCCCGAACCCCCAACCGCTCCCCTCACGATCTCCCGGAATGCACACGATCTGCCTGATTTCTCGACCTTGCGACTACTGTGCCCCCCCCATTCCCCGAACAATGGGAAACTCCCGGAGGGCACAGCGGGATGCGCTGCTGCAACCCCCGACGAGAACAAAAAGCGCGAGGGTTCGGGTCGGGAGGGGGGGGTGCCGGTACATCCCTGCATGCACTCAGGGAGCCCTCTTGCCCGAACCAAGCGGGAGAAGTGTAGCCAATCGTTCGTGAAAAGTTTCGATACTCCTGCTTTTTCTTTATTGCAGGCTTGGCTGTGGCAAGGGGGCGAACTGTAGTACTGTAGGTAAGAATTTTGTTATCTGGCAGGCCCGCTCTCTGATCTCGTCTCCATGCTTACCCCCCTCTCCTCCCCCCTCCGCATTTTCGATACTGTCGCGTGCCCTAGGTGTTCTTCTTGTACTTCACCCTGTTCCACGTCTACTTCTTCTCCTTTCCCTTCGGCTTCAGCTACCTGGCCCTGGTGACCACAGTGCTCTTCCTGCAGCACTCCATGCTCTTTTGCTGGAACAGATACGAGGCGAGCGGTGGCACTGCAGTGGTACAACGGCAGCAAGCAGGAACGGTCCCGGATCGGCAGCAGCAGTGGCGGCGATAGCTGTCCAACGCTTCTTTTGTTTTTTTCTGCGAACTCTTGTTTTTGTTTTCTGTAAGAAGAATATAGTAACATTGCTTGTTCAGTTTCTCTGCCAAGTGTTTTCCCAACCTTGTTGGTTGGCTTCCCCCAGGACGCGCTCTCTCTCTGTCTCTCATCGCACGGTTCAGGCTGCACCTAACACGGCACGAACAGTCCCCTGATGATGTGTTTCCCCATTTGAGGTTCTTGCTCGAAAGGCATGGATGGGCTCATGGATACCCCCCCCCCCCCCCCCCCC